GCTCAGAACTCTTGAGTCCCTTTTCATTCTGATGTCTGTAGCTGACAGCCAGCTCAACTAGTGAGTCTGATTAGAAAACTACCAGGCCATAGCTTCTCCCCTCCCTTGCACAGCCCATTAAAAGCAGGGTACTACACAGGTAGACAGGGTGTCAGGACTCAGTTTCTGGGAAAAGCAGGTTGCTGTGCCTGGACATTCTCTGCCAGCTGCTTCACTTGGGATGGAGATGTCAACAGAGAAAGAAAGGAGGGGCCCCAAACAAAGTAAGATCCCCCATGGTCCCCTGCCTTCCCCTTAAAGTTGTTTCTGCTCTTTGGAGCAGAACTTAACCCCCCAGTCACTTGGATTCTTTTTTTAAAAAGTTTTTCCCTCTCCATTCCATTTTCCTTCTCTCTTTACCTTCAGGGTGACATGTTTCTGAAATAACTCTGATAGGTCCTGCTATTCCTGAAATTAAAACACTAAGGTTTCCAAACTTTCTTTAGAAACCCAGTGCTGTAACTGTTTGGATTTTAAAAGACTTTCTCTCTCTTTTCCTTTTACTCCTGATTTCTCTTTAATGTCACATATGTCTAGGTTGAAAAATGTCTAGCCCTGAAATTCAAATATTAAGACCCCATGACTTTTTTCTTGTGCTGAGGTTTTGCTTGAATAGTTTGTATTCTTGCTCATAGTTGCAAACTGGAGACTAAAAGGAAAGCATGAGACATAGGCACAAATGATGGTAACAAGGGGAGGTAACAACAGATTCTCTAGCTGCGGCTTAGGACAGACTCATAGCAAGCTAAATTAACTCAACAGCTTAGGCAAAAACCCTGCAACAAGGTAAAAGCCCCTTGTTTTTCTAATATTGCTTCTTCTTTCCAGACTGAAACCAAACTCTGCTACTATTTGGATTTTAAAAGTTTTCTTTTTTTCCTCGGGGCTGGAGAGATGGCTCAGCGGTTAAGAGCACTGACTGCCCTTGCAGAGGACCCGGGTGCGATTCCCAGCACCCACATGGCGGCTACAAACCATCCTTAACTCCAGTTCCAGGGGAATCCAAAGCCCTCTCTGACACGGGTGCACTCACTTACGTTTTAATAAAATATTAAAAAATGTTT